CCGCCAGCCCCACAGCCGGCTGCGAGCGGGGCACGGAGCCAGGGCCTGGGCGTCCCGTCGCCGTGCTGGAGCTGGGGACGCCTTCCTCGTCCCCCTGGGGTTCCTCCTCGGCCGCGGTGAGGCCGGGTGGCCGAACGCCTCACCCGTGAGGTGCTGCGGCTGGCGGTCCTTCGCCCCAAGTTACCTCTCCCAGATGTGCTGCAGAGAAAACTCCAGCCTGTGAGAGGGAGAAAAAATTCGCGTGATGCTCTTCCACCGTTGCACGGTGCCGGAGCCGGCCCTCACGCAGACACGCTGTGCAAGAAAGTCCAATTGCCCCGCCAAAAAACCCGCTCTGCCCGCAGCGCTCTTGTCCTCCGTCCCTCTGTCCCGTGTCTGGTCCCGAGAAGCGCTCCCCGATGTCTGGGATACCCCAGCTCCGCTGCCAGGGTTTGTGGGAATTCAGGACCCCGTACCCACAGTTTCTTTAGTTCCATCCTCCGCTGCTTTTCCAGCTTCCCGTAATTTGGTCGCTCCCTTGCTGCTTTTTGGTGCCTCCTCCAGAAGCGTGGCTGCTGCACAGACCTTGCGTCTCTTCGCAGACGGGTGAGTCACCGTGTGTGCGCTCATTAACGTCAAACTGCCTCTCCTTTGAGGTATTCATTTTGGATGAAATTTTCTATTTTCTCTTTGTTGAAACAGAAACTGAACCTCGGTCGCTGCCCTGGCTGGGGCGATGGACACTACAGCATCAACAAGTGATACGCCGATGGAAGGGACGCTGGGGAGGGGAGAGATTAAATCAGATGTGAAGGAGAGGGGCGAGAGAGTCCCGACCGACCGAAAAGCATCTGTTCAGGCTGCAGAACTGTGCTTGAAAGCTGGAAAAGACAATGTAATTTCATAGTGGTTAAGTGGCGGGGAGACGCTGCGTGAAGTAATCGGCAGACCTGAGTGCTCGGGGGATTATAAATAATCTCGTGTATTAGGACTTGAAGGATCCCAGAGGCTAATCTGTTACTGAGAAGGCCAAATGCAAAGACATTTCTGTTGAGCATAAGATACGCCGAGGAACGGGAGACATGCCTCAGGGCACCGAGGAGGAAAACCATTTAACAATTAATTGCAGGATAAAATTGCAGAGAGACGATTCCTAATGAGACATCGTCTGCAGACGACTCAGAAATCGCGACCGCCCCTTCCGCCTGCCCGCGGGAGAAGCCCCGGCCACGAAACGCCCGCAGGCCCGGCCCCGTTTGTGCCAGGGCTCCTGCCCTCGCGCTGTTGGGCTAACGGTGAACGCTTGGCCGGGCTCGGGCCGGGGACGGGAACAGTTAAAACGTTTCTGGACGCTGGAGAGCTTTTACCGACCACTTCCGCATGGGAGGAATTTAAGCCGTGATTAATTGAGCCTCTGGTTCAGGGGCTTTGATCCCACTGCTACAGCACTAGCAACAGCTACATAAATACTTCTTAGATAATTTTAGCCCAGATTTTACTTAATTTTACCAGGACTTGCCGTTGGGCAGTGGTTTCTCACAAGGCCTCTTTCCAGCCTTTTCTCCTTGTCTTCCTTTGCGGCGATGGCGTTAACTGGGGATGGCTTCGATGGAGACTCCAACCCCGGGCACGGGCGGGTCCCTCGCCGGCAGCCCCGGGTGGCGGGAGAAGAGCGGGACGGAGCCCCGGGGCTCCTGCCACAAGAGGTCCCTGCGCGCTCGCCGGAGCGGCGGCCGCAGAGCCCGAGCTGGTGGCACTCCTCATGCGCACCTCAGTAGGAGATATTGCCTTTTTCACCCACATTTCGTGCAGTTTCCGACAGTCCCCAAAGGGCCTCGTGTTCTGCAGGGCGGCAGCTCTGCCTGCTGACGGGTCGCTACCGGAGCCCGCTCCCGGCCGGGCAGGGGACTCCTTCCAGGTACCGGCGAGGCCGTGCCCGGGTCCATCCCGTAACGCCGCGGGGACCCCAGCTAATCCCACGGCAGGGGCTTCACAGCAGCAGCCGGGGGTAAATCAAGGGTGCAGCAGGTTCTTCAATAGCTGGACAGTGGCTTTTTTCTCCCTCTCACAGGCTGGAGTTTCTCTGCAGCACGTCTGGGAGAGGTAACTCGTTTTCCACAGCAATGGTTCGGCAGTTTATTGACAGTCCCCCATAGAATTCTGCCAGATAAACGGCGTCCTCCCCTAGACGCTCATTGCTCCTGGACGGGGTGTGGGTGCGTTCGCAGCTCTGCCATCCCTTGCACAAGAAGGAGCCTGCTCTGCTCCCGAACGGCGCCCGGGGCTCGCCATAGCCAAGAGACATGGGAGCTTCTGACATGGCAAAGTCCTTCTGGCAAAGTCCCGCTCCTCTTTTTGGACAGCCTTGCTCTCTTCATCTGCCTCTCTCCAGCCACGGAGGCACAAAGCCCATCTGCTCATCTAACGCCAGACCTGGCTCACACCTAAAATAATTCGAGGAGTCCAAGGTCTCAAAACAAATCAAGCAACTTGACTTCCAAACTTTAATTAGCCATCGCCTTCATCCCTATCTGAAGTGTGTCACTGCTCTATCTGCTAGGCCGTAGGAGGTCAGACCATACAGGAAAGCTTTACTCTATATATCCACTTTTTCATTCAGAAAGTCTGTTAACTCCACACTTAGGAAAGGATCTACTGTGCCAAACGCACGCCGTGTACGGCAAAGCGTGCCCAGGCATTGCCGAGGGAGCTGTGAAGAGAGCTGAAATCAATGCAAACTGGAGCGTCTACACCTTCCAGCCAGGAACACCCTCCTGATGTGGAAGCTGGGTGTTCTCCAGGTGGAACTGGGGATATACTCGCCGTAGCCACTGGAGAAAGGCACGTCGGTCTCTGTGAGCGTGGGGAGCAGGAGAAGGATTTCTGCTGGTGTGGATTAGATCTTGTCTGGCAGAGGGAATCATCTGGCTTTGCACCGCAGCCCGTCCATTCGCCCTGCTCAAGCCTGCGAGCTTGGCCTCACGAGAGGGAGACTCTTCCCTCCCCTCCAGCCTGCAGGTGTTCTGCCGCCCAGGTTGGTCATCCTTCCCGAGATCATTCCTTGAATAACACAGCATCTCCTGGGAGCTTCACAGCGCCGGGATGCTCTGGTGCCAGCTGCCAGCCGGGCACGGCGCGCTGCGCTCTGCAGCCTGGCGCGCAGGAATCCCCCCCGCCCCGCAGCCAGAGCCACCCCGGCAGAGCCTGCTTTGCCCGCGTGATAAACAACCCCGTGGCAGGTTGCTCTGGATGCTCTTGCTTTTGGCCTTCTTCCTTTTTCCCAGGACTGGAAGTCTTTTTTTCTCAGGATTTGGCCAAAGGGCCGTGTAGGAGAAACCTGTGACAACCGTGCAGCGTCCCCAGGGCTGCTGCGGGCCCGGCTGTCTCTCAAGGGCTGGGGCTGGAGCGGCTGCCGTGATTCGATGGCACGAAGGATGCGCTCCCTCCTCCTCGCTCCGGTTGCACAGGTATGCTGTGGGATAAAACCAAATTCCATTGACAGACTCACTGAGCGGCAAAACCTCTTCAAGCACAGCTGCACGGGCAGTTTCTTGTATTCCTCCCCTGCTTTCGGTAGCTGACATGCCCCAAATTTCTCTGCTTTCTCAGTTGTCTATCTGTTGCTGTTAGTAACGTTTCAGGTTCCTTCTGTCCTTGTGGTGAACACAGAAACACGGGGCCAGGTGCCCGCCAGCCGGTATCCCATCTCTCACCGCCGCCAGACACGAATGCTTAGGAAGACAATGTGAAACAGCACGTATAAGTGTTCTTACCCTGTAAGCAAATTCATTCCCACTAAGTATCCCCTTTTCCATGTGAAGACTCGAAAAACGTTTATAAACATTTTTTCCCCTGTTTAGTTCACCATTCTCAAGCTTAAGCAATTTTTGGTGGACATGTATGTGCTTTCTGGTTACATCATGATGCATTTGTGACCGCAAGCTTTTTTTGCAATTCAGGCGGGTTCAGAATGAGCCCTGCAAGGTGGAAGCACGTCGCAGCCCCTGCACCCACTCCTCGCAGCGTCACACGCTGCCGAGCCCACTCGATTCCTCCTGCATCACAAATACAAGCCCAGGAGCTTCCTAACTGCGTCTCCTGCTGCTGCCGGCTCCGCAGCTCGGAACAGATTAGGTTCCCTCCTGAATTCTCTCGTTATTAATATCAGAAACCAAGCTGTTCTGAGCGCGGTGTCCCAATAATCATTTTAGCTGTGCTGCAGTTTTCACCTCGCTTCCTCTTCCTGCGCCTGAACAGCCTTCAATAACGTTCGGCTCTGGGGGTACCGCTGGGCTGAAGTCAGCAAGCCTGCCAGGGCAGGGAAGGACCCTGAGCGGAGCGAGCCGGGGGCGAGCAAGGGTGGGACAGGGATACCTCCCCACGGCCACGGCTGCACTACGGCACCAAAAAATGTGCTACACCGGCTGATAGTAGTGGGGACTTGCAGGGAGGAGAGCTACCCCCACTAAATCTTCACCTTGAAACTTGAATTTTCCAGAGTGCTGACCATACCGGTGAGACACAGCAAAAGTGAAGACACTAACGAAACAGGAGGGCAGCTCGGCGGCTCGTGTGAGGCAGCACCCACGCGGGCAGCAGGTCTGCTCAGAGATTTCCGATGCCTACCTGGGCTCTGTTCGCGTTCAAGGGCACTGCTTCCTTTTGCTCCCTTCCTATGTTTAATCCTGCTACGTGTTACAAGCAAAGGTCTTAACCACTCTGAGTGCCTACCTCTGGGCTACCTAACAAAGGGCCAAAGGGTGCTTACAGAGCATCTTCCCAAAAACCTGCCTCCAGTCCCATCCCATTGCCTGAACGCCTCCAGGGCATATCGTGTGTTCCTAGGCGCTGGCTCTCAGAGGCGCAGTAACGCAGCGTCCCTGCAGCTAACCCAAACCTTCCCCCTTACATCCAATGCCCTTTTCAACTTTCTGTCCTTTGCCATCATCTTTGCCCCACCAGAGATGGGCATTTTGTTCTGCTTTTATCCCTTTTCATTTTACAAAAGCCCTTCCCCAGGTGCTCGGCTGCATCCAGCAGCATCCATCGGCATCCAGCAGCCGCATTAGCTGCTCAGCCCCGCGGTGCAAACGCCGCTGCACGGGATCGAGCTCCACCTGGCTCGTCCCGAAGCCTCCCACAGCCGCACACCTTTGTACCTGCCATTTTGCTGGTGCTCGGCAGCTTTCATCCGTAAGCAAACAACGTTTTTCAGCGATTTCTGCTGAGTCAGAGAATGCCTCCGCGAGGGCTGCTGCTTCTCCACGTGGGAACGCGCTTCTGGGGAATAATTACAGAGAGTTTAAACAGGGATGTTTGGCAGCCAAATTGCTTCACATTCAGGCTCCTGGCCACGAAGGCAGAGCCCAAAAGCTGCTCGTTGGCACGGTGAGAAAACGCCTCGCACCTGCGCCCATCATGGGTGTGCGTCGCCCGCGGGCTGAGCTCGCTCCTCGCACAGCAGCGCCCCGGCACCTGGTGCTGGAAGGGGCGCTCGCAGCTCGGCGGGTCTGACGCAGCGAGCTGCTTCGCCAGTAAACCAGCTTGCACTTAGCGAGCGCCCCTGTACGTGCCCCTCTTCTCCAGGCCGTGCCCACCGAAGGGCTTTTATCCCCTCCGGACGCTGGATTTGGGAACGTGCTGCGGGGCAGAAAGCTGGTCCCTGCGAAGCTCCGGTTCTGCAAGGGAGATGATGGAAGCACACTGCTAGCAACTTTCCCTCCCTAAGTTTTGAGCCATGTTTTAAGGTTGTGAAACACACTGACTGCGAGATAGAGATAAGTACTGGAGTAGACACAAACAGCGTAGGCGTTACTCCCGGTTTTGTGCGACTCCCACTCTGTTGCAAAAATAGTACAACAAGCAGCAGCCTGCTCTGTGCCATCCTTCACGGACCAAGCGACGACGGGACCACGTGCCTGGACATCGGCGGACCGAACCAGAAGCAGAGCTGGCACCTAAGGCACGTGCAGAAGTGCCGAACGCTTCATGTTCCTTAAAATCAATGGAGGGAGAGGGTCTGTCTTACAAAAACATCAAATTAAATAATTTTAGATGCTATAAAAATACATAAAAAGTAGTGATACCATTCCAAAATGCTGCAAAGATGCATTGCACTGAGCTAGAGCGCTTTCCATCAAGAAAGGGGGCAATGGGAAGCCGCAGCGGGGTATCACTGCATCCACTCAAGTGCCTGTTCGCATTGCACACAACGCACCTGGTCTTTAGACCACACCTGCGCCATAATTCCTACATACCCTCAATTCTTTTGCAATTCTAAACCCAAGCAAAATACACTTAATGAGGCACAGACCAGTTGCAGAAATCAGATAAGACTCGCTGGCAGGCGGCCGGGTCCAGGAGATGAGTCTCCTGATGGATGGGGACATTGTGCAACGGGGAGATCATCACCCAGCCGTGGGCTGGGGGCAGGGAGAGCACTTGCAATAAGACGCGAGGGTGTCACCTCTGCAGAGGAGAAACTCGCAGACGGTGACAGCGGTGGCTTTCTGGCGCAGGGGCCGGGTGCCAGAGCCCCCCACGGTGGGACCGGGTGAGTACCCACTGACGTACCCACTTCTCCCGAGGACCCAGGAGCGGGGCAGCGGTGTGGTGGGGATTTGCAGGAGCGAGTCACCACCCTGCGCTGAAACCTGCCTCGAACGACCCTTCCCTGCTCCATTTCTTGCTTTTTTTCCTCCAAAACAGAGAGGGAGATTGCTAAGGCAGGGACAGCGCTAAGGACCAAGGTTTTCAGCTCTTTTCTAGCCTGGGAGGTATTTTGGACATGAATTACTGCTTTCATGGCAATTAGCGCCAATAACAATTCTGCACAAATGCCAACATTTGTGAGGTTTGGGCGAGGCTGAAGCGGTTCTTCAGACCCCGATTTGGAGGAGCCACTGGCTACGGCGGGGGAGCCCCGGCCTACGGCGGCAGCGCCTCGCCATAAATAATTGCACTGATTTACAACACGGCCGTTGTTAATCACGTTTGCTCGCTCACCCTGCGCTGCAGTGGGGTTTAATGGGACAAGGGGCTGAACACAAAAAAGTGGGTTAAGCTGGAGGAAAAAAAGGGCGGAGGAACGGGCTTTGGGTTTGGAGACAAGGTTAAGAAAGGGAGGGAAATGCGTGTTTTCTACCAGTTGTGGGTTTTTTCTTGCGGTACCGGGAGTTTGGGACCCCTTGAGCACACAGCACCGACCCACTCCCAGCCAGGGTGGCGGTGGCCCTGTGTTTTGGGGTGGGATTTTGCAGCGGCGGCGCAAGGGTGCGCGGGGAGGACCATCTGCCAGGGGCGAAAAACAGCTCCTACAGGCAACTGCATCCATGGTGGCCAACCCCTCCCTCTGCTCACCCGCAGCATGGACGGCGACGACACCATAACCGACGAGGTCTGCAAGGAGGATGACGTTGGGGACGGAGAGTGAGTACCCAGCGGGGGGGAGGCCAAGGCCCAGCCCGCAGGCAGCAGGGGTGGTACCGCCATGGCAAATGCCGCCGCGTCGGTGGCCGCCCTGTTGTTGGTTGAGGGAGCGGCACGGTGGCTGCGGGGCACCAGTCCTCGGCTCCCTGGGGCACCCAGCTCTCCGCCTCTCCCGCAGGCTGTGGGAGGTGATGGTGGGCGGCTGCCCGGTGCTGCTGGTGAGGAACAAGAAGGAGTTCAGCGCCCTGGGCAGCAAGTGCCCCCACTATGGTGCCCCGCTGAGCAAAGGTACGCCCGGCGCCGGGCAGGGGGAGCAGCCACATCGGCGAGGTCAGCTCTCACCGCTCAGCTGGGGGGGCTTTTCTGTTGCAGGAGTCTTGAAAGGGGAGAGGCTGCGCTGCCCCTGGCACGGTGCCTGCTTTAACATCAAAACCGGAGACATTGAGGAGTACCCTTCTCTGGACTGCCTTCCCTGCTTTAAGGTGACGTCTGACCTCTTCCTCCTCCCAGCTGGGGCCGTGTCCTCCATACCACTTGCATTCATTCACTCCTACGAGCTCCCTGTTCCCGACACCGACTGAAAGGATCCTGCCCTGGCCACGGCTCCGTGGTCCGGGTCAGACAGAGCTACACATGGGACCATTTCTTGGGATCGTGTACTCCCTGTCCTAAAGCTCCTTTCCATCAAAGGTGATGCCATACATCCTGGTACACATCACAGCCAGGACAGCTCTTTTGGAAAGAAAAAAGGATTTACATCTCTTCCTGAGTGCCCTTGGGATGAGGAGAAAAGCTCACGAGCTCCTCAGCATCATCTGACATCCCAGATCCCTACGAGCCCCTCTCGGTGTATCAGACCGATGGCCCACGGGAGCAGACCCTCCCAGGAAAGCTCCTACCACAGCCTCACGAATGCAGCGCATCAATGCACTCTGCTTTCACCCTGCAGGTAACAGTGGAAGATGGAAAGGTGTTTGTTACAGCAAAAAAGAAGGTACTGACCCTACCTGCTGTCACCCAGCACAGGCAGCACCTTGGGCTAGGCATGATTTCAGCATTTCCCACTCACTCTCTTCTAGGATCTTGAAAGCGGCCTGAGGGTGAAGGACACAAGCAAGCGATGCCCTCTCAACCGGGACACGGTGTTGCTTCTAGGGGGAGGTCAGCGAAGCAGCCTGTACCGGATCCTCCTCGCAGGCGCCGTCAGCTGCCGCTCTCCTCTCCAGGGAGGACCTCCCGTCTTCCTCCTGCTCCGCGGTGGCTTGTAAGAGGGCTGAGATAAGCATCTCTTGTAGGTGCGGCTGCCCTGGTGTGTGCAGAGACACTCCGCCAAGAGGGCTTTACTGGCAGGATCATCATGGCCACCAAAGAGAAACACGTTCCATATGACAAGACCAAACTGAGCAAGGTTTGTACCCGAGAAGGGCAGGACTGTGCCTGGGTACCCCGTGTGAACTGGGACATGGCCCGCACTCAGGACCAGGCTGAGCAACCGAGCGAGCCCTTCTGGCAAGGCAGGAGTGCTGAGGCACCCACAAGGAAAAGGGGTATAATTTCCAGCTAACATCTCACTTTGTCCTCCCGGAAAGCCTTTGATCAGAGTCCACCGTAAGCTCATGGTTTTATCCCCTTTCACCGAGTTCTTCCCACTAGAGGTTGAGTGGATGGGTTTTTCTGCGGGGGGACAAGAAGATGATGGGGCAGTGTGGGGAGCTGTGATTTACTGATGCAAAATTTACCTCTTATGCAAACTTACCTCCCAGTAAACACTGCAAGAGTATTGCTGGCTGCAAGAATTGCTTTATTTCGTATTTCTGTTTTGTTTCCAGAAAATGAACTTGAAAGCTGAGGACATCTACCTGAGGAAACCTGAATTCCTCGATGCCCGCGGCATAGAGGTCTGGACAGAGAAAGAGGTACAAGAGCAGCTGAGCTCCATCCTCCGTCCGTGGTCCCGGCCCTGCCCGTGCCTGCAGGCATAGTGCTGTATTTATAGAAATTAGGGCTCTGCCTAAGCACACGCGTTATCTTCTGGGCCAACGCTCCAAGGCCAGTGCTAGGGATGGTGTGCATGCCCCGGGGGTAACGCTGGTCTGTGCTGCCCATGGACAGATGTCCCTGGCACACGCAAAGAGGATGGCCCTTGAAACTAGCCGTCTGCACACCCCTTAGAGGAACCCAGGCTTGGTGCTGTCGCATTTAGTGCTCCTAAAGCCTAGGACCGGTAGGAGGTGAGAGAGAGGACTCCAGCGCTCCTCATCTCACCTGGGTGTCCAGAAATAGGGCACGCAGTCACGGGCAGGCAGAATGGGTTGGTGGGGCAGGGCACCAGGGCACTAGAGGGACCTGGCTGATCCGTGCCTCCGTTCTCCTGCAGGCAGCATCGGTGGATTTCCAGAAACAGAAGGTCTGCTTCGTGGACGGGTGCTCTCAGAAGTACAATCAGCTGCTCATTGCAACAGGCAGCCAGTGAGCGCACAAAGCACTTGCCACACACAAAATCTTAGACAGGAGCAGAGGGCTTGGTGGTCTCCTAGGGGCGCGTGAGAGGGAGGTGGCAGGAGGTGAGATAAAAAGGCGGGGTGGGATGACGCAGCCAGGAGATTGCATGGGTTTGTGCTCCCCCCACTCATTCTTTGTCTTTAATTTCTAATCATGAGACACAGCCGGGTCCTCTCTCTTTCAGCTCCAGCTCCCTCGAAGTCCCTGGAGCAGACCTGCAGAACGTGTGCGTTCTCCAAACCCCAGAAGACTCTCGCAAGATCTTAGAGCTGGCAACTGGGAGGAATCTGGTGATCGTAGGAGCTTCGTTCGTAGGTACCAGGCTGGAGGGGATATCAAGTCATCAGTGACAGCCTTGGAAGCCGCTCCTGCTGCATGTGCAGATTAAGAGGCCCTCGGGGAAGGGACGTTCATTCAGGCCTGGCTGGGTTCCTCCCCACAGCCCTGTAGCTGGTGGGGGGACGCGCCAGGCAGCGTGCACTCTTTCGTCCGAGAGCCAGAAACTCTGAGAGCTGCGAGCAGGTCCTGGACATGGACAGAGGGAAATGTGCCTTACGAAAAGGTCACTGTCCTTCAGAGGAGCACTGGGAAAGTGAGGGGGTAAGGCAGAGAAAGGGAGCTATTTTGCACACAACCAGGAGCTGTTCTTTGCATTGCCTAATATCTGGGTCGGTAATGCATGAGAATGACAAACAGGGGGGCTAAATACCTCAGCCCAGAAATGCATAGAAGAGCAGTTAAGCACTGGCACTACATCAGATTCGTTGTCCTCACCTGGAAGGGGAAAAGGTTTCCAAGGAGGAGGGTGCAGGCTCGTGCTTGCAGCAGGCTTACCTTGAGCATGCCCTTCCCTTGCAGGAATGGAGATAGCTGCCTTCCTCTCAGACAAGGCTGGTGCCATCGCGGTGGTGGAGAAAAAGGAGTTCCCTTTCCAGACTGCGCTGGGTCCTCACGTTGGAGGTGTCACCATGAAGGTGAGGAAAACCTGGTGCTAATTTCTGGGATGGAGAACAGGCGCTAGCCAAGCAGCCCTGTGATCCGCAGCAGCCCAGGAAATCCAGCTCCCGCGCCGAGCCGTAACCCCGCGTGCCCAGCCACCTCGCTCGCTACAGCTCTCTGCAGGAGCTGCGCACACGTGGCCGGTCCCAGCCTCCCGCCCGCCCGCGTCGCGGTCCCCAGCTCAGCTTCGCCCCCGAGCCCTGCTTGATCCTAGACCCACCTCACGCGCCAGTCCCGAGCTGGTGAGCAGAGCAAAGCCAGCTTCCAGGCACCCCGCACCAGCCAGGGACACAACTGAAGCCTCTCTGCAGCCCG